CCATCAAGTGACTTTTGTAGTATGGATGTTAAACAGTTTTTAGTCGACTTCGCACGGGGGGATTTATCATTTTTGTAAAATTGTATGTACTTGTGGTCAGTGTTTCCATCGTCCATTAGTATGTCTTACATGAATAGGAAGATTATTATTATTGGTTTTGATTTATAATAAAAGAGATGTTGAGCTCACACTGTCTCACGGGCTGGTATTATATGGAAAAGGCATTTCAAAAGTGAGCTTAGTTGCTTTACTGGCAGGTTTAACAAATACTGCAGGTACACCTAATTTTGATATATGGTTTCATTTGTTTTGTGCTGCAACACATCACATGGTTTTGAGTGTTTATCAATGTATCAGTTATTTAGCTTATTGTATATTGTATTGGTAACTTTATTTTACATTCATTTTTAGTGTGTGAATTTTTCCTGACTGTTATTCTCTGGGTCACTGCCTCTTTTCATTTTTTACCTGTCTCTGTCTTTCGACTTGTTGCTATCCCCACTGTAGGTCCTCTCCTGTGGTATTCCCTTGCTCTTTTTTATTGCTCAATAGCTGTTGTTTTCCGGAGAAGCTGTGGTGAATGTATAATCACATCAAAATCCCACGGTATATCAATCATCCATGCTGTCCCTGTTATTAGTGTATGCCTAGACTTTTGTCTTATTTACCCCTACACAACAAGAGAGAAGCAGTGATATGTATATGAAAACAACACTGTATAACAATGATCCTTGTTGTACTATTCCACCTGCCAGATGGATTTTTCCATTGTGGCTTTATAGATATAGCAGCAGCATGTGTGAAGCTGTGGTGAATGTATAATCACATCAAAATCCCACGGTATATCAATCATCCATGCTGTCTCTGTCTGTCTACATTTCATATGTATCTATCTCAATCGCCCTTTTTTTCAAATGTAAGAACATTAGTGCTATTTATTGTTATCCCTCATGTATGCACGTTATCATTCATTTCTCACTGTGGCATCATTACTAGTTGATACTTTTAGGTGCTTCGTGTTGTAAAGACATTCACATTCATACGCATTCATGTCAATTTTGTTCAAAAACATATTGCCAAACTGGGTCTTTTTTCTTCTGCCTTCTATGCCCTAATGGGACATTTGTCCTCAATCAACTCACGCTGTCATTATAGTCATTGCTATTACATTTGCTCTTAGTGTCTTCCCTATATTTTTAACTTCACTTTCTAGCTCCCTTCTGCGTGTGTTTTTATGGTCTTTGTATCTTTTTATGCCCATGTTGGTTCCAGTACAAAACTCATTGGCAGACAACTATAAATGTATACGGTTTTTGCTGAAAGAAAGTCAATTGATGGCCATTTTCATATGTTAATTAGGTCACGTCGACTGAGCTTGGTATATTTTTATGATCTTTGTGTTCACCTTGTCGAGACGCACAATTTGATATGCATGTCGCCAGGCTCGCTGGCGGATAAACTCACAGGTATAATGTTTTGCTTGAAAATAGTGACCTGGCGGCCATTTTAATATGTTAATTAGGTGCATAATGTATTATATGTTTTTAAAACATGCATATACAGTTAGGTCTAACTGTCCCGCTTCCAGCAATATTTGGTTGCTAAGGTATTCGTTCAGTAACAAAAACGTTATGGCCGTAAAATCAAACATTGAGTCATTTCATCTCACTGGGTCGTAGCCGGGAAGCCATATTTTATGGATTTCAACTACAATTTTTCTGTCGTGGTGTCCGCCACTAAAATGTTAATATCTCCGCTTAGAATCGACTTACGGGCTTAAATGAGGTACCATTGGATTTGTAATTTTAATCTTTGTTTAGCTGTTATGATTTCGTAAGTAAAAACCCAAAATATAAAACTTCACTACCATGCCTACTTCTATCAATCAATTGACACCTTCTATTTTTACTTTAGGTCAATTTTAGGCGTACGGCGTTTTCCGTTAGTATGGTGTGTGGCCTTCTCTTGCGTGGATCAGTGACTTGGCATCTCTTGGGCATGAATGCGATCACTTGTCTGATGTGGGCCTGTGGGATGGATGCCTATTCTTCCTGAAGTGCCTGCAACAGATCACGACCATTGGCTGGAGCAACGTCTCGGCGACAAACGTGTCTTTGCAGCTCATTATCCAGGTGCTCAATTTGACTCATGTCTGCAGACAGGGATGGACATGGAGGGTTTTCAATGTTATCGGCAGCCAGGAACTGCGTGGTCAACCGTGCAGAATTTCCTTTATTGCCTCGAACTCTTTCCTCAGGACATGACACCGAAGTATGTCCACGTAACTTGTAAGTATTCACGTCTAGAATGCACTAATGCCCCAGATACATGAACAGAAGTAATACATTTGTAAAATTCTGTCTCGAATGTGATGTAGGTAGCCTTAACATATAATAGGCTACGACATATGAGGTTGACTGACCAGTTACATTCCCCCTAGCCTTCCATTCTCACACATTCCAAGACAATTCTGAGAATTGTGACTCATTGTCTGTTCTCCAAGCACTATCCAGCAAAAAACAAGACAAACTAATTGCAGATCTAAGAACCACCGTTGGCTTACTCTCCAATAAAGCAGAATTGGTCTTGCTGTGGATACCAGCCCACGGTATCCACTCTCAAGGAAATGAGAGAGCAGATGAGTTGGCAAAGGCTGGGAGTAATCTTCTACAGCCTCATCCACCACACAGCTTCAAGGAAACCAAAACAGCGATAAAGCAGTCTTTCAAGCGGCAGTGGAGAAGGCAGAATGGAGATTACAGACCAGAGAGTGACAGCATAAACAAACTCAACAAGAAAGAACAAACATTAATTTTTAGACTTCGGACTGGACACTGTGGTCTTCTAGCACACTTGTACATGATAGGCATAAAAGAATCTGCTGCCTGTGATTGTGGAGCAGAAAGACAGACCCCTGAGCACATACTGCAGTACTGCCCTAACCTCTCCCAGCAAAGACTGTGGATCTGGCCCAATGGAGCCACATTGCAAGAGAAGCTATGGGAGACCGGTGGCGACCTTAAACGCACAATCCTTTTTGTGACCCAGACGGGACTCAATGTTTAGCATGACTGGTGTCGAACGCAGAAGAAGAAGCTAGCACCCAGTCCTTAATGGCTCAAGCTAGCCACAAACCGTTCCGGTCTAAATGAAAAAAAGCGTATCTTTGTTGACAATTAAACCGTTATCAATGTGGGAGCTGGCCAGTGCCCTAACCCCCTACATCACGACAATATCATGTAGTAGTAGTACACAACCAAATCAACGAAACACATGTGCTACACCCATGTGGGATGCACGCGGGACTCTTAACTGGGTTTTGAAATGAAGGTACAGTCTCTAGGAGCACTTAACTAGATTGCCCGGAAATGGGCAAGCGGAAGTAAAATGAAAAGGTATACAGCGATAGCGGTATAAAAGCACAGATGTAGCCGCACCATAATAAAACGGGGAAAAGAAGAGGAAAAGGAAGAGGAAGAAGAATAAATGGAAGAGGAAAGGGAACATTAAGAGAGGTGGGAGAGAAGAACAGAGAGAGAGAGAGAAAAAAAAGAAAGTACAAAAACAGGAAGAGAAAAAAGTAAAGAGTAGGAAAAGGAGAAGAGTAAAAAGAAGAAGATGAAGAAGAAACAGAATAAAAAGGAGAAGGTGTAGTAGTAGTAGTAGTAGTAGTAGTAGTAGTAGTAGTAGTAGTAGTAGTAGTAGTAGTAGTAGTAGTAGTAGTAGTAGTAGTAGTAGTAGTAGTAGTTGTAGTAGTAGTAGTAGTAGTTGTTGTTGTTGTAGCAGCAGCAGTAGCAGTAGTAGGAGTAGGAGGAGGAGGAGAAGAAGAAGAAGAAGAAGAAGAAGAAGAAGAAGAAGAAGAAGAAGAAGAAGAAGAAGAAGAAGAAGAAAAAGAAGAAGAAGAAGAAGAAGAGGAGGAGGAGGAGAAGGAGTTAATTACTTATGTCTTTAAATTCAAAATAATTTAATTATGTGTGGGTCATGCAAATAAATAAGGGCTGTGACACAATAACCAGATGCAGTGAATAAATGTAATGACAAAATTGGATGAAAATAAACAAGGTGTGACCGCGTGTTAGCACATGATTAATTTTGAATGTTAAATGCTGAATTAGGAATCGACACAGCACTCGCGACACTCCCATAAGTGCTCTGTCCCCATCTTCAGCAGCAAGTGAAGATTTCTAATTCCGATGGCACCAGTAGCCGTTTGATTTTATATCCGTCTCATCCTTTCCCTAAGTGTTGAGCGTCGGCCACATTCCCTGGTAACTCCTCGCAGCGCCATTCTCCTGAGACCATAATGATCCATCTGCGCATCCACACTGTTCACTCGTTCCCAAAGGGCCCTCACAATATCTAACTTGTCATATATCAATTTACCACAAAGTGGTGCAGAACCGGCCAGTCTATGTGTCTGCTCATGTCCCAACACACCGGCATCAAATGGAGAAAAAATCCAAAGGATGCTAACTACCCGAGACCTCCGAAGTGATGCTTGCCACTCTGCACGAAGCATGCCTGTCCTCACCTTTCCCAACAGGCCCTGTGAGTCAGTAGCAATTACGGAATGTGTGTACAACTGACTCTCAAGCCAGCGGAAGGCAGCAGAGAGGGGGTATAGATTGTTTCTGGGGGCGGGGGAAGGGGATAGTTAGCCCTTTGGAAAACCCCTAGCCCCATAACAATTGGAAGATGGAGGCCTCAAAGTACCAATCTGTGTTCGGGCCTAACGTCAAATCACAAAGAAAACATTTACCAAGCTGTGTGTTATTATCTAGACAGGGTTGGGTGTTATACTTAGGGCTCATGTCTGATCAGATCATGCGTATCATGGTAAACATGGACAAGAGATTATAACATATACTCATTGGTTGTTAATATATCATCATCATCATCGTCTTGGTGTGCCAAAAAATGTCAAATAGGACTTGCAGTCTAGTCTTCCCTTGTGTTCTATCCGTGCAGTTCAGGCCAAACCCTTTTGCCTCTCTCATCAACTAACACGATGTAGCTGTGGTATTGTCGAACATATCAACGTACTGACTTGTGACAGAAATCTTGTTTCTGTATTCGATATCGACGAGTGTCTGCGCGCATTCGTTTGTATCGTTTTCTGCCATCTTTGTTTGTTTCGGATCGCTTTTCCCGCCGACACATTTGCCTGTCTCGCGGTCTATATTTGCGCACCTGTTGCAGCATTTTGAAGTCTCCAAAATGTGCAGTCTCAGCGCATACAGGCCAAACTGCAGCAGGTGAACTGCTGGGACACCCACGAACACTGATCCAAGACTGACAGTCAGAGCTGAATGCAGCTTGGACCAGTCTAGGGGCTTGTAGATAAATGGTTCGGATTTTTTGTTTGTTCCTGCAAGAGAAAGCACCTGATTCACAAACAATTAATTAGTGTGTCTATATGTGTGTGCGTTATGTGAGTGTGTGTGGGGTGTTTGTCTCTTCTTCTTCTTCTTCTTCTTCTTCTTCTTCTTCTTCTTCTTCTTCTTCTTCTTCTTCTTCTTCTTCTTCTTCTTCTTCTTCTTCTTCTTCTTCTTCTTCTTCTCCTTATTATTATTATTATTATTATTATTGTTATTCCTTCTTCTTCTTCTTCTTCTTCTTCTTCTTCTTCTTCTTCTTCTTCTTCTTCTTCTTCTTCTTCTTCTTCTTCTTCTTCTTCTTCTTCTTCTTCTTCTTCTTCTTCTTCTTCTTCTTCTTCTTCTTCTTCTTCTTCTTCTTCTTCTTCTTCTTCTTCTTCTTATTATTATTATTATTATTATTATTATTATCCTGTTTTCTGTTCCCGAGTGGAGCATATGCCCTCAACCACCTCACGCCAAGTTGTTCTATCCTTTGCTATAGCATGCAGCTTACCCCATGCCCCCTCCCCATCATTTCAACTTCCTCTCTAGCTGCTTTCTCCTTGTGCTGTTTGGCCTGCCTTTATTTCTTTGTTTTAGTTGTTCTCCATACTTCCGTTCTCTACATCAGTACTGGTGTGAGTTTAGAATTAAGCATTTTATGTTTAGTATTAGTTCTGATTTATTTTATGTAGCCACCGTGGAGTAGCGGCTAGACGCTTGCCTGCGGATCAGAAGGTCCTGAGTTCAGTCCCTGACGATGCCGGGATTTTAAAATCATCTAGGCTCTCAGGTATATCCAGCTTTGAATTGGTAAAAGTCAAAGTACTGAGAAGTAAAGGCGGCGGGTCTGATCCTGACCACATCATGCACCAAGTGCCAATTGGTCTATAAAATACAGGTATAACCCTAGAGATATGTGTGGCTATGGAGAGACTGAGTGATAATAGTGCCTGAGGACTAGCACTTAGTCTACCTCTTAGTGACCACGCGTTCAACAGCCCATGCAGACTTCTACTGAACAACGTGACGTACCGATTAACAACTTCACGAAGGTCCAGTGCGTGGGTGGCGATTTTTAAAGCGCTCTGGCGGGTCGGTATAGCGTTTTTAGCACCAGCTATCTCTGGGGTGTACTGCATTGTCATTTTGTAGTTTAATTACGGCTGTTGTGTAGACTCTGAGGCTGTTTGGGATTAGACAGACTCCCTCTGTCATGTAGCTGCAAAACGAGCCAGTGCCTGTGAAGCAGTGAGCGGCTCTCTGACACCATATGTAGCCAATATGCCTGAACGTGTGAAAGAGGGCCCATTACTTATTTTTCTTATGACCTCCACAAATCTCATAGTGCTATGCCAATAACACGAACTGGGGAAGAGAACAACGGCAGAAATAGTACAAGCAGGGGTATTTGAAATGTTATAGACAAATTCTTAAAATACCATGTGGATCAGGAACAGGAAAAACATAGACATTCTGAACGAGTTGAACATCAAGGAGAACTGGCCTATAAACAGCATTCTGCTCCGAAAGTTGAAGTATTTTGGCCACACTAAGCGTCATGGAGGCTTGAAAAAGACGGTGATAAAGGGTGCAGTTTGTGAAAGGCGAGGCAGGGGTGGACCACCGTGAAGACATTAAAGATGCATTGGCATTGAAAGCACATGGGGCCGAAGAGCTAGCTAGGCAAAGGGATACTTTCAGACGTGCCGTGAAGAGAGCAACGTTCAGTAAAGGACTTGCTGATTGATGATGATGAAAACATCTGTTGCCTTTTATATTTGTATTTTAATATCTATACCAGTTTCCCCCATCTTTACTATAATACTGCCCAAATAGATGTACGAAGTGGGATACCATCAAGAGAAACCACATTACTTTTTGCCTGAATACTTACCACCATATATGTGATACATAAAAGTAAACAAAGTATAGGCTAAGCCGTACATTATCGGATAGACGATATGCAGTAGCCGAACCGGAGCTGCAATGAGGAAAATGTCCATTAACACGTAGACTGAGTTTATCGCATGCGTGGCCACGGTTAGAAATGTCTTGATGGCTGGAATGTTCAGACATGAGAAAATGCAACACAATGTCAACACTGTTATTATTGCTATGGCTGATTCAATTTACACATGACAAGGCCACATACAAGCATAAAAAATAGCGATGGATGCATTTTACAATCTTCTTCTTCTTCTTCTTCTTCTTCTTCTTCTTCTTCTTCTTCTTCTTCTTCTTCTTCTTCTTCTTCTTCTTCTTCTTCTTCTTCTTCTTCTTCTTCTTCTTCTTCTTCTTCTTCTTCTTCTTCTTCTTTTTCTTCTTCTTCTTTTTCTTCTTCTTTCGCAATGTTGTTTATGCATTTCTCTTGGCCACAAGTATTGCCTTGATATTTCAAAATACTTTAAAATAAAGATCAGTTACAGAATGTCCCATAGCATATTCTTCTTCTTCTATGACCCCACTGATTATGTCGTAAAACATCGTAGAGAGGAGTTAGATGTACTTTCTTGTGTTTCGCTAGTTGCGTGGCTAGTGTTAATGTCATGTTGCGTTTCTAAGGTGTCTCTTTTACCCCCTCCACCCATCTCTTTCTTGGTCGACCTCTGCCTTGTAGCCTACTGTTCTCATGTAGTACATTAGTTGCTGGCTGATTTTGTTCCGTTCTGATTAGATGACCAAACCATTTGATTCTTTCCTGTTGTACGAAGTCATTCACCGTTACTGTCCCTACTATGGTTCTTAGTTCTTCATTGGTGACTTTGTCTCTTCTTGTTTTCCCAACAACATTTTGGTATGCATCTCATCTCAATTGTTATATTGCCTTTATGTTTTTCTAGCACTGTCCATGCCTTGCATTTATAGCATAAAGCTGGTGCGAATATCGCATGTATCAGCTGTTTTTTTTTTTAAATGCACATGCTGGTATTTTGATGCCTGAAAAATGTCGCTTTTCAGTAATTTATGTTATCGACCTTTTGTTTTATGTTTTCTATTTCGCTGTCCAATCCTTCATCGTCTAATACACTGCCTATGCACGCAAACTCCTTAGCCTGTTTAAATGTTTCTCCTTCAACAGTGAGGAAATGTTGAGCTGTAGGTATGCTGTATGACTGGATCATTTCCCACACTGAATGGTCTTTAGAAGGGATATCTCTGTTTTTGGCGCTGAACAATTTAAGTAGATGGTGAAAGCTGTGTCTTTTCAGCCTCTTTTTAGTTGAACTGTTTGCTAAGAAATACAAAAATAGGTGAGATATGAGCAGGTTTTAATGAACATGTGACATGTGAAAAGATTTTACATAAATAGATGTTACTCCAACATTTATGACAAGATCAAATAGGGTAAGAATGGGTAAGGCACGAACAGGTGAGACGAACAGGTGAGACACGAACAGGTGAGGCACGAACAGGTGAGACGTGAACATGTAGGACATGAACAGGTGAGACGTGAACAGGTGAGACATAACAGGTAAGACACGAACATGTGAGACATGAACAGCTGAGACACGAACAGCTGAGACACGAACAGCTGAGACACGAACAACTAAGACGCGAACAGGTGAGACATTAACAGCTGAGACACGAACAGGTAAGATATGAACAGGAGAGACATGAACAGATGAGAAATGAACAGGTCAGACGAAAACAGGTGAGAAAGAACAAGTGAGAAAGAACATATGAGACATAAACAGGTGAGACACGAACAGGTTAGACATAAACAGGTGAGGCGAGAACAGATGAGACGTGAACAGCTAAGACACGAAAAGGTGAGAAAGAACAAGTGAGAAAGAACAAATAAAACAAGAATAGATGAAACAAGAACAGATGAGACAAGAACAGGTGAGACTAGAGCCTGTGAAACAAAAACCGGTGAGACACAGGTAGGTAACACATGCACAGGGGACCCATGAACAGGTGAGACCAGACCAGGTCAGTCAAGAACAGGTAAAACAGGAACAAGTGAGAAAGAACAGGTGAGGCAAGGACAGGTTAGACAGGAACAGGTGAGAAAGAACAGGTGAGAAAGAACACGTCAAACAAGGTCAGATGAGACCGGAACAGTAGTAGAAGAACAGGTGAGACATGGGCAGGTGAGACATGAACAGGTGAGACAGGAACAGGTGAGACATGAACAGGTGAGACAGGAACAGGTAAGACATAAACACCTGAAACAAAAACATGTGAAACATAAGCAGGTAGCACATGAACAGGTGACGCATGAACAGAGGAGACATGAACAGCTGACGCTTGAACAGGTGAGACCAGACCAGGTGAGACATGAACAGGTGAGACGTGAACAGGTGAGACGTGAACAGATGAGAAATGAACAGGTGAGACATGAACAGCTGAGACGTGAACAGCTGATACACGAACAGGTGACGCATGAACAGGTTAGACCAGACTAGATCAGGCAAGAACAGGTGAGACAGGACTAGGCGAATAAAGTGTTGATGGCGATAAACACGACACCAGGAAAGACAACTGGCATATTATTCTCCGGAAAGGAACAACCGATTGATAACTTACCACCATCAAAGACCAGAGTCCAGTATAAGGCAGTTACTAATATGGCCGAGTCGAACCCGAAAGTTGTGAGAAGCCACAGTACCTTCAGATACCACTGTATGTTCTCTGGAAAACATAGACACACACATACACAATATCATAGTTACTGCTGAAGGTCGTTCCCCAGTCTGTTAGTGAGTATAATATCACTAGTGCCACAGTTTTACCATGTTGAGTTCGGGACCTTTTTTGTGGGGGGAGGGGGAGGGGGGGGGTGAATCCATTGCCCGCTAACAAGCATGTCGTAGAAAGCAGCTAATTAGGGATGTTTCATTTGAAGTGGAAGAGTGTTTGATTGAGAGGTGGGGAACCAATAGTCTGCCTACAAAGAAGCAAGATCTGTGAAACAGTTGTGCACGCAATACTCTAGTGCTAAATCAAGACCAAATCTTAGAACATGGAGTTAAGCCCAGCATTTTCAGTCTTTCATAATAATGTTTTCTTAACGTTTCCCTTAGAAGTCCTCATTTTCCCAAAAAATTGTTGTGCGAAGAATCCAGGTCCTAGTACACCAGGTTTACCCAGAATCACGGTGTGGCTTTCGTGGAACCAGTTTACTACTAATACTTATATGGTAATTCCATTACGACAGCTGCAGAAAGAAAGAAAAAATGCCGTGAACAAAATCAACCACTGTATGTTGCTTTTATTGATATTACCAAGACATTTGGTTTGGTTAGTCGAAAAGGTCTGTACAGCAAACTGAAGAAGACTGGGTGTCCACCGACCCTACTGAGCATTATTGAGTCGTATCCACATAAGTATGAAAAGTACTTTCAACTTTGATGGTGTAGCATCGGGAGAGTTTGTAATCAACAATGAAGCACAGCAGGAATGTGTACTTGCTCCTACCCTCTTTGGAATATACTTCTTTACTTTTGTTTTAAACATGCATTTCAAGATCAGGAGGATGGTACATTTATCGATTCTCGATTGGACGCCAGTCTCTGCAGTGCTCATAGACTAAAGGCCAAAACCAGGATACGAAAGGTGCTTGTCAGAGAGTTGCTGATTGCAGATGATGCAGCAATTATCACTCACTCAGGGTAGGATCCGCAACGCTTACTATCTTCGTTTGCTGATGCATGCAATGAATTTGGACTAGCAATCAGCAGATATAAGACAAAGTTTATTGTGCAAGGTGTCAATGACAGACTTACAGTCTACATTGACGGTAAGGAGCTGGAGACTGTAGACCATTTTACCTGTCTGGGTTCCACAGTGAATAACCAACTATAGATGGACCATGAAATCAACATCAGGATAGGTAAGGCAGCAACAACAATGAGCAGATTGACAAAGAGCGTTTTGGAGAACGGAAATCTCACAATTAAAACACAAACCCTTGTATTTCAGGTTTGTGTTCTCAGCACCCTGCTTTATGGCAGTAAAACTTGGTCAACTTATTTGCACCAGGAGAGACGGCTAAGTAGCTTTCACATGCGATGCCTAAGAAGAATAGATGGCATTAAGTGGCAGGGCAAAATCACAAACACTTAAGTCCCTAAGGACATTCTCTATGAGTGAGTTAAATATGAGTAGTAATGTCGAGACCGACCTCTACTACGATCTAAAGATGCGTGCAAACGGGACATGAATGATACAGGTATTGAGGTAAACTCTTGTGAACAAAATGCAATGTGCTGTGTTGTGTGGAAGTTCACAACAGGAAGGGAATGAAAATGAAGAAATAAATGACTGCAGACAGGATGAAAGCTGAGCGTCTGAGAAGAAACATACTAAATACAAATGTTGACAACAATGGTCCTGAAAACCCATGCTTTAATTGTGGAAGGCCAAAACCAGGATACGAAAGGTACTGTTCTTGCTAGTCACACTCGCCATCGCCATGGGCTGTGAGTCCCTTATCAAAGCACAATGTAACACTGTAACATTATCTTTATCTGGAATGACAAAAAGGTGCCAGTATAATATATAGATGTCTCAAAAACAACTTAACGAGGAATCTGTAGACCTATCACAGATGCAAACAGAGGAGAGTGGAGAATGAGAAGCAACAGCGAAATTCATTATATATTTCAATCACTTATTATTGGGAAGCAAAAAGCAGAACCTGATATCTTCCTCGACACCAGAAGCAGTTGAAGAAGAAGTAAAGAAGGAGAAGAAGAGAAAGAATTATAAAAAAAAAAAAAAAAAAGAAGAAGAAGAAGAAGACTTGTTACTGGCATCATGAAGGCTAACCGACTGCAAAGATGGGAGCACATAGTTTGCATGACACATAAAACACTCACACACACACAAAGCGAGAAAGAGAGAGAGAGAGAGAGAGAGAGAGAGAGAGAGAGAGAGAGAGAGAGAGAGAGAGAGAGAGAGAGAAACAGCGTATACAGAACAGTTTAATGTGAGTAGACCACGACGTAGACCAAGAAGACGATGGAAAGAAAACCTACAGGTAGACTTACAAACAATAAATCACCCTTTCAACAGAGAACGCCCATCACAAAAATGGATGGAGGCGAGTAATATCTGCATAATGAACGTCAAGGTTTCGGAATGTTTAGGATGGAGTTATTTTTACAACTCCCACATTTTAGGTTTAATTTGAACTTTTCCTGTAGAATCGGATTCTAAATTTGTAGCGACTGTCCCTCACCTTCCACCATGTCCTCTTTCTTGACCACGTAGATGTAGCAGATGATGCCAGTGTGCAGACAACTCTGTGCAGTCAGGATGGCATAGGACCAGTTACTCAAATAGATGAGCCATTTGATTTGTTCCCCGGAGTACCGCTCTTCAACTGGTAAGTAAAATATATTACTGGTTGTATTTTAAGATCGTGAACAGGTGGTAGTCGGCAGATGGCCTAAGTGGATGCGAACGCTTCCTAATGCCGGGATGCCGGGTTCGATCCCAGCTGCGGGCCATGTGCCTTGCGTTGGTTTCGACAGTGGTATAAGAAAGCCGACCGTCCAGTGAGCAATGGCAAACTACTGGACGTGAATTTGCCTAGAAAAACCACACAACAGTCAGGGGCTGCTGGGGTTGGTTCTGCAACGTCCTGTAGGTGACAGGTTCAATTCCCGGCACGGTAACTATAGCTTTCGATTTTTATGTTGTCTAGTGTGTCCTTCTGTCTTTCTACTTCTTTCTATGAGTGCCGATCAATACACTTTCCTTTACTTGATTAATTCATAATATTTAACGGCCTTAAAGTTTCCCCCTCTGTTTATTTATAGGAATGACGTATACACACCGGAACCTACCAATCAAATACCTTTCTTAAATGTTTGTGTATTCTAGACAAAGCAATATGGTCTACTGTGTTCGTAAATTGTGGCTGTAATTGTTATTTGACATTTGCTTCCTTAATATAAATTTATGTAACCTATGGTGCCATTTCAATGGGTTGAAATGAATTCTGTCCGTTTTCCATAGTCGTGGATTTTAAGCTGTACGATAGACATGGCCAATAAGACACCTTTTTTTGTGGGGTGCCTGGTTGACCATGTTCTTAGTGCACTTGTATTCATGGCGAGGCGCAGATGCCGTCTGGAGGTGACAGGTTCAATTCCCGGCACGGTCACTATAGCTTTCGATTTTTATGTTGTCTAGTGTGTTCTTCTATCTTTCTACTTTTTTCTATGAGTGCCGATCAATACACTTTCTGTTACTTGATTAATTCATAATATTTAACGGCCTCAAAGGTTCCCCCTCTGCTTATTTATATGTAAAGGATACGCAACTAACCCTTTGTCGGCTCTGTGCCTAAGTCGATGCGAACGCTTCCTAATGCCGGGATGCCGGGTTCGATCACAGCTGCGGGCCATGTGCCTTGCGTTGGTTTCGACAGTGGTATAAGAAAAGCAGACCGTCCAGAGGGCAATGGCAAACTACTGGACGTGAATTTGCCTAGAAAAACCACACAACAGTCAGGGGCTGTTGGGGTTGGTTCTGCAACGTCCTGTAAAGGATACGCAACAACCAAAGAACAGATGGCAGAAATAAATGTATGAATGCAAGCATCAGTCAACGACTGACTGACGCATACTAAGGCAGACGTGTAAGCAAATAGATATGAAGACTGGATAACGGACAAACAGAAAGACTTAAGCGAACAGACTGGGCAAAATTCCAGCCTTCTCTGAACCCGGGACTCCAGCACTTGAGGCAGACGTCCTGTCCCAAGACCACCCAGCCCCGGATACCAAGATGTTATGGTGAAATGTTAGGTGACAGCTCCGCGGTAACAAACCGATCGATCGACGGATAATTTGTAACTCCATCGGAATTCAGTCAACCTTCCAGAAAAATGTCATGAGCTTCTGTCCCCTTCATGAGGCGTATTGGACGACATAGGCAGGGGGAAAAAAGAAGATTATTCATATTTTGCAGCCCACTCCATAACATCAATATATGCAGACTGTTGGTTCATTGCCTCTCAGGCTGATGCACTTCGACTGTGAAGGAAGCTCACTATTAGTCAACTCTTGCGATGTGCTTTCGACCAGGCAGTGAGTCTATTCTTGTTTTTCCTACAATGGGGCCCCGGAAATCATACTGAGATTTCTTGGTTAAATTTTTCGAGATATCATCGTTAGGATCTTTATGTGTCCTCGTCCTCGCCCTATGGTCACAATTTTAAGAGAATGCCTCTTCTATGAAGTTACATAAGAAGGTCAGTCATGGACTGTCTCATCGTTATCAAGGAAGAGTATAGGGGCTTTTAAAAGCCGAAATACTATAGAACGATTCTCAGAATAACACGGACATCAAGGAAAAAAAAATACTGACACCCTAAAATTTCTCAACATCATTGAAGACTGGCTTGTAAACAGCACCGTTTCCGAAATTGAAATAAATAGGCCATGTCGATCACCACGGTGGATTGGATTGAAATAACCGCAGAACGCATGATGCCAAAAAAAAGGGGGTTGGAGCCGGCCAGCATGAACATCTGCGTCGCGTATGTGACACCTCGGGTAGGAAAGTGCTCTTGGATGGGAGCGACTTTCTTTCAGGCAGTGACAAGAGCGACTTCTGCAAAGGTCCTGCTACATGACGATGGTAAGGATGATCATTCTCGTCATACATTTAGTAAATTTTATTTCTGCATCACCCTTATTTTTCAAATATTGAAGCCCAAACAAAAGAACTGTATGTTCTCTGTGTGGGTAAGAACTGTATGTTCTTTGTGTGGGTAAGAACTGTATGTTCTCTGTGTGGGTGAGAATTGTATGTTCTCTGTGTGGGTAAGAACTGTGTATTCTCTGTGTGGGTAAGAACTGTATTTTCTTTGTGTGGGTAAAAACTGTATGCTCTCTTTGTGGGTGAGAATTGTATGTTCTCTGTGTGGGTAAAAACTGTATGTTCTCTGTGTGGGTAAGAACTGTATGTTCTCTGTGTGGGTGAGAATTGTATGTTCTCTGTGTGGGTGAGAATTGTATGTTCTCTGTGTGGGTAAGAACTGTATGTTCTCTGTGTGGGTAAGAACTGTATTTTCTTTGTGTGGGTAAGAACTGTATGCTCTCTGTGTGGGTAGAACTGAATGTTCTTTGTGTGGGGAAGAACTGTATTTTCTTTGTGTGGGGAAGAACTGTATTTTCTTTGTGTGGGTAAGAACTGTAAGTTCTCTGTGTGGGTGAGAATTGTATGTTTTTTGTGTGGAGAAGAACTTATGTTCTCTGTGTGGGAAGAACTGCATATTTTCTGTGTGGATAAAAACTGAATGTTCTCTGCGTGGGTTACGGTGTGCCATTTTGGAGGCGAATAATTGTCTTTTAAACGTTGACTAAGGTTTTACTTAAATCGAATATGTTGGGTCAAAATATAAGGATATCCCAGGCAAGCAGTAACCCACACCCTAACTTGTCATCCGCTCTTTTAAAAACGAAAGCATGATACTAATAATAATAAAAACAAAAACAAAAAATAAGTTTCCCAACGACTAGATCTGTTCACTCACTGACTTGTATTTAACTGTATACTAAAAGCCAACCAGGCAAAATGCCAGAGCGCCCAGAACAGCCGCCACAAGATGTAAGTCTCTTGAGAAATCCGCCACTGTAAGAAAATGTGAGAAACGGCTCATTAAAGTCGGCAGTCCACGCCGTTGACGAAATCTAAACATCGTATAAAACTAGAACGGAATTTTCACATTGAAAATCTGTGTAATTTAATTAGTGAAACTGCTTAAATTCAACACAAGAATACACTGCGTTTAACTAGTCAGTTGACAGTTCTTTTGCAACCTGGTCATCGACAGCGTTGAGGCGGATGATCTTTCCCATCGACTTATAAGAAAAAATCATCAGATAAAAACTATGCATTTTTTTTATTTCTTTAAACAGTATATCATCATCATCATCATCATCATCATCATCATCATCATCATCATCATCATCATCATCATCATCATCATCATCATCATCATCATCATCATCAATATCATCATCATTATAAAACTTGGTCTCTTGCCAGCTCTTCCGCCTCGTAAACATTCAAAGAAAAGAAATCTCTTATATCCTGTGCCTATCTTCGTGTATTGTGTCTACATTCTGCTTTGTGCCGTTGCAAATTAACAGACGATCAGTATCCGAGCTACGGTACGCTTGGTTGCCTCGTATGCTGATATTTTGTAGAGTCTAAAGGTATCAGTGACTCCATCTTCGTATTGGTCGTTCCCGACCTCTTAATGTTTCTACTTTCATCGTGTACTCTCCAATTTCTGGCATTACTGGATTGATTTTTATTTTATTTTCGAAACTATTTCAGTATTTGTTTTCCAATGAATTTAATAATAATATATTGTTCGAATAGTTCTTATAGTTTCTTCGTTCCTTACACGATCACTTCTACTTTTGTTCACTGCTTTTCTTAATCCTCTCATTTCGCATGTCGTCGGTTTTCTTTCGTGTTCTTTAATCAATGTCTAATTCTGACACTGATTTCTTATCCAAACTACAAGCAATTAATAAAATAGCTTAATCGCACAAAAACAGACACGAGTCTCAGACTCATCTAAGTGCTATGAGTCGTACCAATTAATCTACTGCTATCTTAGTTCGAAACAATATTAAATGCTTATCCAGAAATGTCACGGAAAGTAAAGGTGGCCGACCAGGTGTTGACCAAATAATTCCATCACTGTCAATTAGTGTTTATAAATATGTGTTTATCACTATTTGCATGATGCGCAAGTGGGCGTGGATTAGGGTCTGTATCTTGCGTTACTTACCTGTGATCTAGTGAACTTGTATGGTTTTGTCTCATGAAAGCACAGGTTTTGGTACTGAAATTCCTCCCTGCAGGTAACGCCCATGATATTTCTTATTGGTTTGATTGGCGCCTGTTTTTACATGCATCAACATGGGAACTTGTTGCTGTCACACACATGTTTCGGTATATTGAGCTGAGGTAACCATTTCTCTTCCTCGCCTAATTTCCTTCTCAGGTAACTCCCATATATTTTTTTAAGTTGAGCTGGAAAAAAAAATGAGTAATGCACAAGCAGAGGTCATTTTTCATGCTGATGGCGTGTTGAGCATATGTGTTCCTTGTTTTGTGAAAGGGGATCTTTTGGTTATAACCTTAACTATTTTTTTTCCGCCATATAGAATTGCTTAACATCGCTCGCCACAAATTGACCTTTAAAATGACTCTAGCACCGTTGCGATGAAAGAAGACAGACCCAAATACTGTCCCGACGACGACGAAGTCGTCTACTGGCCAGCTAATAAGCTATCTTGTCGCCGATATGGGCATATGGCATAACCCATATTTATAGCACAGTTGGTATTTAAAAGATGATGTGGTGAAAACTATGTGAAGTAATGTGCACACTGATGTATAACAAGCTAAGGGCAGGCTGATTGAGCGTGAATAGTTCAGGAAAGGCAAGGCGGACGTATGATCAGACTGGTACCATCGGAAATTAATGACAAGCTAGATGTTGTGAGGGTCCTTTGGTAGCGAGTGAACAGTGCCGAGTCACAATCAGATCATTACGGTCTGAGGAGAATGGCGCTGCAAGGGGTTGCAAGGGGATCTGGCCGAGTCTCAACTTTCAGGGGATCTGGCCGAGTCTCAACTTTCAGGGGATCTGGCCGAGTCTCAACTTTCAGGGGATCTGGCCGAGTCTCAACTTTCAGGGGATCTGGCCGAGTCTCAACACTCGGTGGATCTGGGCCTCAACACTCGGGGGTTCTGGGCGAGTCTCAACACTCGGGGGATCTGGCCGAGTCTCAACTCCCAGGGGATCTGGCCGAGTCTCAACTTTCAGGGGATCTGGCCGAGTCTCAACTTTCAGGGGATCTGGCCGAGTCTCAACACTCGGGGGATCTGGGCGAGTCTCAACACTCGGGGGATCTGGGCGAGTCTCAACACTCGGGGGAATCTGGCCGAGTCTCAACTCTCAGGGGATCTGGCCGAGTCTCAACTTTCAGGGGATCTGGCCGAGTCTCAACTTTCAGGGGATCTGGCCGAGTCTCAACACTCGGGGGATCTGTCCGAGTCTCAACACTCAGGGGATCTGGCCGAGTCTCAACACTCAGGGAATCTGGCCGAGTCTCAACACTCAGGGGATCTGGCCGAGTCTCAACACTCAGGGGATCTGGCCGAGTCTGAACACTCAGGGAATCTGGCCGAGTCTCAACACTCAGGGAATCTGGCCGAGTCTCAACACTCGGGGGAAAGGCGAGACGGATATACCATCAGACGGTTACTAATACCATCGGAATTGGAACTCTTCGCTTGCTGCTGAAGATGGGAACTGAGCGCTTATAGGGGTGCCCCGAGTGGTATGATGTCGATTCCTAATTCACATTTAACATTTAACATTGTACCATCGGAACTGGAACACTGTGCTGGCTGCTGAAGATGGGGACGGAACGCTTATGGTAATGCCCCGAGTGTTGTGATGCCGATTCTTAATTCAACATTTAGTAAATATATCCAGGGAAGAACAAATTCCCAGTGGAAACGATGCAAGATTAGAATGTCATGTTTATTATATATGTTCTGCAAATAACAATAGAATCTCTGTAAGGTTATATTGTCATTTTTTGGGTTACAACGTTCCAGACGACTTGCAACCAAAGTTAAATGCATTCGAAAACAGTTGCCTGAGAAAAGAGATCAACATTCTTCTTCATAAACTCCATTCCGTGAGGCGTTGGTAGTCACGTCTATCCACAACCTTTTGTCTCGTGTACTTTCAGTCAACTCTGACACAGATGATCTTCCATAGTCCTTGCCGTGTGGCGTTGGTAGTCACGTCTATCCACAACCTTCTGTCTCGTGTACTTTCAGTCAACTCCAGACACAGATGATCTTCCATAGTCCATTCCGTGAGGCGTTGGTAGTCATGTCTATCCACAACCTTTTGTCTCGTGTACTTTCAGTCAACTCTGACACAGATGATCTTCCATAGTCCTTGCCGTGTAGCGCTGGTAGTCATGTCTATCCACAACCTCCTGTCTTGTGTACTTTCAGTCAACTCTGACACAGATGATCTTCCATAGTCCTTGCCGTGTAGCGTTGGTAGTCATGTCTATCCACAACCTCCTGTCTTGTGTACTTTCAGTCAACTCTGACACAGATGATCTTACATAGTCCTTGCCGTGTAGCGCTGGTAGTCACGTCTATCCACAACCTTCTGACTTGTGTACTTTCAATCAACTTTGACACAGATGGTCCTCCATGCTATGATATCAAGCATCTTTTCTCTCGGTCTCCCTCTTCTTCCCTCCAACTTTGTTACTGTCACGATGTACCCCAGTTTTCTCCTTCTCATCACATGACCAAAGAATACAGAATGTCTCTTTCTCATGTGGGCGATCAGTTCTCTTCGTGAGTCAGTTTTTTTTTTCAAGACATCCTCATTACTCTTTTTATCTGTCCAGGGTTTTCTCGTCATTTGTCTATAAAACCACATCTCGGCTTTTCTTGGATTAATTCCATTGTGTTCATTAGACGTGAACATGGCATGGAGTTAGTGAAGAAGAATCTGTATCTCTTTTCTCAAGCAACTGTTTTTGAATGTATTTAACTTTCGTTGCCAGTCGTCTGGAATCTTGTAACCAAAAATGGCAATATAACCTTACAGAGATTCCGCTGCGCTTTTGTTATTCTGAACAAATGGGAATGGGAATAATTCAGAAAGAGGGAAGAAATAAGAGAACATTGGGACGGGAGCCTATGGAAATATCCCTAGCTCTGTGATGTTGATACTTAATTACGCAATAACAACAACAGTTGTAATTCAAGGTCGCGGCTCTGTGGTTCAGGGGTTAGTGAATGCGGTGAACAATTTGATGATCCTTGAGTACAAGGATTCCGGCATTGGCCGGGGTAGGGGGGGGGGGTGAAGGTGAGGGGGAGCGTTATTATGATATTCTCACAGTAGTATGAGTGCGGGCGTTTATGGCTTACGCGCCCCGAACGCGCTGTGTAACGTCGGGGCGCGGGGTTCAATCCTAGCCGCATGCTATTTGGCAGCAGACCGTCTTGCATTGGTTTTGACAGTGGCATTCAAAGACGACCGTTTAGTCAGCAATGGCAAACTACTGAAAGTAAATTTGCCTAGAACAACCACAACAGCCAAACAGTGCTGGGGCTGGTTCGGCACGTCCTGTAACTGCGTGTATATAAGAGTCCCACCGTGGAAGAGTTTGGAGCTTAAGCATGTAATATTCCAAAGAGCCAAATTCATTATGGAGACGGTATTATCATCAATCAGCAGGGCCTTTACAGAACGTCGCTCTCCTCAAGCATTAAATTCTGTCTTTCTCTAGCCTATTCTCCAACCCTATCTGCTTTCATAGGTAAGACATTTTTAATGCCATCTATCCACTTTCGCGGAGATCTGCCTCAGCCATATTTTTCGGAAACTATAAATTCCATCACCGTTTTTTACTAGGTCTCCATGTCCTTTAACATGGTCAGAACACTTCAGCTTTAGGGAGAGAATGTTGTCTATGAGCCAGTTCTGTGTAGACAGCACATATGTGTTTTTTTTTTTTTTTTTTGGGGGGGGGGGGGGGGGGGGGGGGGGGGGGAGTAAATAAAGGAATTGAATCGTGTGTCCGTTTCCCAAATTTTAATAGACCAACTGGTATTTGGTGAACGATGTGGTCAGTATTATGCCGGTTATCTTTAATTCCAACAAAATGTTTTAGGGTATCAATGCTATGCCAGAGTCATCCAAGGGTCCTAGTAGATTTTAAATTCAGTTTCGATTAGATTTGCACACACGACTATTGGGCCGGAAGTCGAGCATATTAGCAGCCATTCAATGCACTATCATACATATGGATGCTCCAGTGCTGTGACGTCGATTCCTAATTCAACATTCAACATACAAAAACGTAATTTGACCATGTGATAAGTAATAGTATTAGTGGTAGTAATCAAAACAGTATTTGTAGTAGTAATGGTGGTAACATCTGTAGTGTTTGTGGCGCAAAAACAACAACAGTGGTAACTGATGTTGTTGTTGGTGTTGTTGCTGATGTTGTTGTAATTGTAGAAGATGCAAGAGAAGATGTGGTTACTTTTTTAGAAGAAGGGGAGGATGAGGAGGAGAAGAAGAAGAAGACATGGAGGGGGAGAAAAAGCGGAGGGAGATGGTTAGAAAGAGGAGTGAAAACAATGAGAACGAGAAATGACAAAAGATTGAAGGGTGACAAGTAGGATAAGAAGAATCCGTTCAAATGAGGATAACCCTCCATATTTGGGAGTCAAATCCCACAAAAGGCCTAATTGGGGCCCTCACATTGAAGACACAGTGTGCCTGCCAAAAAGGACCTCAAACACCTAAGCACATTCTGCAGACCTGCACACTCTACCTACAACTTCGAAAAGACACCTGGCCTCAAGAGCAAAGTGTGCAGAGCAGGCTATGGGGAACCATGAAGGACTTAGAGCTGACATGCGAGTTCATAGAGGTCATAGAGGCAACACACCTGATGGTGTGACCCGAGCATACGAAACCGAATTCAAAGAAGAAGGATAAGGATAAGAAGAATATAACTTTAAGATCCTTCTAGCATTTTAATGACTGAAACCTACAATTGATTTCACAACGATGAATCCATTTACTTTAATGTCAACACTTCAGCATAACATATGGAAAATTTGGTCTGCATTTTTATTTCTCACATGCAATGCCGGAAGCTATAAAATTTTCGCGTTAAAAAGGTGCTGAGTTGTGCTTTGAGGTTTCATATTCTTCAAGTGCTGTGTGAAGTGTGCAGTCATCCACATCATCATCGTAATGATGCATACTTAGTGCCTGCATACGCAATGACACAATGCATATGC